CTTTTTGGAGATCTGATGTAATTACCTCCGGTGTCGAAAGTTGCTGGAGGATCTTATTGCTTTTGTCAGCCACGAATATTGTCCGCCGAAATTAATTTGCATTAGCGAGACTGATATAGTAACTACATATTATAAAGGTAATAATTAATTTTGTTAAATTTATTGTCATTTTTAATAATTACGTAAATATTTAGTTAGTATAAATATAAAATGCAATTATATTAGGATTATATACGTCGTAGAGCCACGCTGTATCTATAAAACATTTTTACTGGCAACGGAGCATACCATCTAAGTCTTACTCGTAGCAGCGCATCTGCATTTTGATTCATAATCAACGATAGATGTAGTTGTCTATGGCCGCTTGTCACCCTTACTATATATTTAAAAAAATAGGATTTAATAAGTTTACACAAGTTAACGGTCATATCTCATTCGTACATCATACATAAAGACTCGTTTACAAGAAGTTACCTGTTAATAAAAGTAAAAATCAACTTCAAAGAGCTTAAAGGAACAAAATAACTTAACGTTCTGAAGTCGGTGCTAAGTTAAAGTTTGTAAGAGAATTAAAGCCCGACCTCAGAATATGATATTATTTTATCCTTTATTCCACGAAGTTGGATTTTACTTTATAATAAAAGTTAATTTTTTACCCCTTTGAGTAAGAACAAATCTCAATGTTGTATAAATAGTTACATTAAAAATTGTTTTGCCATTCTTATACAAAATACTCAAACGCCACTCAATTTTAAAATAACGATAACGAAAGTGAAACGTTTCTGTTTTATTGGCCAATAGGGGTGAATTTTTTTCTCTAAATTTATATAGGAAGATTTAGATAGAAAATTATATAGGATATACCTGAAGTATGAACCGTTTATTAAAAAGGAATCATCATAATCAGTTCACAATCACGAAGATATCATGTAAAATATACAAATACATAAATAAGACATCTGCCTATGTCTTTATTTTCATTAGATTTATATATAATAATTATTTTAATCTTTTACAATTTTATCTATTCTATCTAGGCGTTGAAAATTTCAGTCATCCCCGTGACCATGGCTGCTGTACAATGCTCGAAACGTCAGGTATATAAAAAAGTTAATATACGGGATAAAATCCGTAAAAACTAGTGTTATTTAAATGTGTAGTGTCCGCGTAAATATAAGAAATCATTAAGATTAATATAATTTAATTTAACATGAAAAATAACAAAACTGTCGCCGTAGCGGTTTATCAATCGCAGTTTTTTTAATTATTTTGTGCTGTTATCAAGAAGATGCTACTTCATGTTTAATTTCCTTCTATCGCCTCTTCGATACCCACGGAAGGAAATGGACCGCCACTACGAACAAGACATTATTACCATCGCTTGTGGTTGAAATTCGAACAATTATGTTTGTAAAATATTCAACTTGCAAAGGGATCTAAGCTCTCATAAAATATTTTGTATAAAAAATGTTTACTTTATTTTATTCTTTAACGTCTTTCAATGTCAACCTAATGATAGAATTAATAAGAAATTGATTAAAATTTTCTATTAATATGTTAAAACGCATAAAATATTATAGAGCTTTTTATAAATAAAATTAGCTATTGGTTGGTGTTGGTGGAGAAAGACGGAAAATAATGTTCTTTCTGCTCTTCTGGTACGCTGCTTCAATGTATTTTAATTAAATCTTAAAACGTCATATAATTGTAATACTAACTTTATCAATAAGTATAAATGGAAAATATAATTGTCATCATAGAAACAACGACCTTATGAACGTAGAGTTTAATATAATAACTTTAAGCAGCTTGAAATAAAACACACAACACAACCTATTACATACATAACCTGGCTTTATAGAACTGGTAGTACCAGGTGTCTTCGTAAGTCGTAATCTTTAGTACGAAGACACCTCGTTAGTACAATGTAACTTATTCAAGTTCGATACAAAACTAATAGTCTCGGAGGGAGTTTAAAGTGCAGTGTTAGGAACTGTTAATCTAAAAGCTACCCCTTTAAAAACCCTTAAAAAGAACCCCTTTGACGTATCTCCTCAGTTTCAAGGCACTCCCCTTGTTGCCTCAGCCAGTATCGGAATCCTCGGCGTCGAAATACCGAGTGACGTGCAGTTTCGTGGTCACTTGGAAGAGAAGGCCAAATTGGCCTTTAAAAAGCTTGGCATGCTCAGCAGAGCGGGACAGTATTTCATGCCGGCACACCGCCTGCAACTTTACAAGGCGCAGGTTTGGCCGCACATGGAATACTGTTCCCATCTCTGGGCTGGGGCTCCCCAGTACCAGCTCCTTCCACTTGACCGCATCCAGCGCAGAGCGGCTCGAATCGTCGACGACCGAGTGCTTTCCGATCGGCTCGATTGACTGGCACTGCGAAGAGATGTTGCATTTCTTTGCATTTTCTATCGCATATACCATGGAGAGTGCTCTGAGGAATTGTTCAGATTAATCCCAGTCGCCAAATTTCGTGAACGCACTACGCGGCAAATGTCCCGATACCATCCACACCATCTGGATGCTTGGCGGTCCACCACTGTACATTTCAAGAGGAGTTTTCTTCCGCGTACAACCTCTCTGTGGAATAGTTTACCACCAGCGATTTTACCGGACCGATACGACCTGGGGACCTTCAAGAAAAGAGCGTACTCCTTTCTAAAGGGCCGGCAACGCACCTGCATTTCCCCTGATGTTGCGGTTGATCATGGGCGGCGGTAGTCACTTAACATCAGGAGAGCCGCATGCGGCTCACCTGATGTTAAGTTTCGTCTCGTTTGCCCCCTCTTCTGTATAAAAAAAAGCTTTTGGTACTAAACAAAAATGCGTTGATGTAACCATACATAAAAAAGAAGTATATATCTTAATATATATAAATTACGTGTCACGTTGTTTGTCCGCGATGGACACCGTGTGCTGTTTGGTCCAACTTGAGAGATAGAATAGTTTTTATTTTGATTTTTAATAGGACATGACAAAGGGTCGTCGAAAAAGCCAGAATAATGTCTGCCTGGCAAGCTAGTTTATCTTAAATTTTTCATTGGTTTCTAAAAACGTTAGGAATTTATCCTGTATCTTCGGGGGAATACCAACATAAATTGCATATGAACAAACACAGAGACCCGGAATTCGGAAAAATTGTTTTTAGGCCACACAAGCACTTGCTTCGCGGAAACAACCTAAGCGTTGCAACCACTTGGTATCAAGACGTCAATCTAATCTAACCCAATATACTTATAAGTTCATATTCTAGTATAAAATATATTATTTTAATATTGTTTATACATATAGTATAGTATATAAGGGTGCCATTTAAAAATCTAATGATTTTGAATGAAGTGTTGTATGTAATACTACGTAGTACTATTATTTATTCTGTGGTAATACTAGCTGTGCTCTGTGTGATAAAATAATTTTTAATAATTTATCATTATCATACTCTCCTATTCGAATCGGATTTTGTTTCCAATTTTAATAATTTTTTTTGCGCGGAACGCTATTTATTTCTCTAACACAAATGTTAGTCTAAGTTACTCATTATATGTCAGCTATCTGCCATTGAAAGTCCCGTCAAAATCGATCCAGCCGTTTCGGATATTAGCCAGAACAGACAGACAAAAAATTAAAAATTGTTTTTTTAGACAAAAAATTAAAAATTGTTTTTTTTGGACATTTAGTTAAAAGCCGTTATTTTCACATTACAAACAGACACTTCAATTTTATTTATTTGTATATATGTAGGGAGGTTTAAAAGGAAAAGGAGTCGTCACGAAGGTCGTCTCCTACCCGCTTTTTTCTAGGCCTCTCAGGTAGTCACATCCTGCCACACTACCAAAGAATATATACACTACGCGAAACTACCACTATGCTGCCTACCTGACACATTCTTATAAAACGATGGCCGCTGCAGTAACGGTAAAAAATATAGATGGATAATTTATTTTGAAACTAAGTCATTTGAAAATAAATAAAATTTAAGTGTCTGTTTGTTATAATGTCAAAATAACACCTTTTTACTGCATATGAAAGTATGTACGGTACTTATAACAAAAACACAATTTTATATGTGGTAGAGCCACGTTGCAGCTATATTATGGTTCCAGCAGGAAAGGGTCGGCTCGACCGGGGAATGATCACGCTCTCACAGAATATCGGGGTAAAATACCAGCTTGATGCTGCTGTGTTTCCTATGGTGAGTGTAAAGAACCGGTGACCCGTTTTATTGGAATCGAGGCATTCCATCTTAGTCCTCAGGGGTGAAAACGCATCTTCATTGTGTAAGTAATTGTATGGCCTACATATAGTTGTTCCGGGTCTGGATGTTTGTCCTTGTGCAATTTATGTTTGTAAACTGCCCCCACGATACAAGAGAAAATCTTAGTGTAGGGGTAACGTTTCATTAAAAAAAAAAAAAAAAAAAAAAAAAAAAAAAAAAAAAAAAAAAAAAAAAAAGATGTCTATGCGCCACAGCATCCACTTACCATCAGGTGGACTGTGTGCTCGCTTGTCGCCCTAATTATATTTCTACTATCAGAAAGGAAGAGAGGTAGGTTGGTATGGAACAATAATTTTATATACCTACATACTATATGGTCTTATGTTTTAAGAAACAAACAAGTGATTTTTTTGAAATGTATAAAAAATATTTAATATACTAAGTTCTTTGCATATTTCCTACTTTGTCATTTGATTCTGAGCAATGTTCAATTTATTTTTTTACATGTAAACTTATAGGAACAATACAATTTAAACTTATTAGGAAGTGCTCGAAATTTGAGTTGCAAGATTCCACCCCGTACTACAAACAGATTAATGGAAAAGTACTTAAGAAAAACGTGGTAAAAAGTAAATTTTTACTTAGATTTAAGTTTAAAATTTAAAAGATGTGCTTACTGAAGTACAATTGATGAGAAAAACAGGGTACAAATTCTATATTATATATGTCATTAGTGGGCAAGTTCATAATTATAATGGGGTTCAATGTAACCTACCTAAGATATCGGGGTAAAGAGTCATAAAGTCCTCCTTGGCACGAATTACATTCTGTCGTGCCAGTTCATCCCGCGGTGATTCCAAAGCGGAGAACACTACCGCCCCCGCTACCAGGAATACTACGTAGAAGACAATGTACAGCCCCAACAGATATCTGAAGTTGCCGAAAAGCGTGGTTGTTACGGACGGCGGTTGAAACGGCGGGTGCTCTTCTTCGTACTGGATCTCTCTGTCTACAATCATCTTCTTCGAGTACGGGAAAAGTTGGCTGCGCACTGTCATGTCATCCTCGCTCCGAGCTGAGCGTACGCTGCCGTACGATTGTATACGGACGTATTTCGGCTTCTCCATCGCTTTAGATTCTATTCACAACAACAATTGACTTTATCTGCTAGCAGTTCTTGATTTCAACACTTTTAAAAGAAAATTACGGACCTTGTTTACGATAATTTAATATCTATAGTAAATAATTAATCACCAGACTGCAGAATTTAAAAAATAAACCACTAAAACACACGTAAAAAAAGTAGTAACTAAAGAAAACACAAAAACCCGTTTAAAGTGCGTTAACAAAAAATTAGGATCTCATAATCAACATTTTTGTTAACTATACTTGTAAAACATTTTGCGGCGATTAGGTTCAAAGAAAAACGCGGGCACTTTAATGGATTCACAACCCTTCATTTTGATGCATTTTAAAAAGTTAATAGACACGGTTAGAGCGTGCTTTTTGTTCGATTTACTCGGCGTCTGCGACCTGACTGAGACTAACCATGGGACCATGGCATATGGGCATGGCTGCGGTTGCGGCATGCGCCCGCGCATGTGACGTTGTTTGATTAAAATTATATCTAAGGTCAATAAAATACCATGATTTCACCGATAAAAACGTGCTTGAATTGGGTACAATTCGTATTTTTACAGTATGTGGTCACCCAGTCGTCAAAATTCGATCAAGTTTCATATAATTTTTGGGTTTAAACATTGAGCACATTGTATCTTACTTTCAATTGCGCATCAATATAAAAACATAGTTACATTTACATAATATACGATTAATTGTAGTAGACATGTGTCATTCATCAATGATTCGTTCGTTTGAACTGGTACACTTAAAAGTATTGATGGTTCATTTATCTGTTTTTGAATGTTTCGGTACAACCAAACACAAACAATTGACGGAACCTTTTTAACTCGTGATTGGCGTGAATTGAGAATAAGTCGAAAACCGTCCGAATCCCGAATGATCTGATGATCTTACAGACTTACAGAGTACTGGAGCCTGAAATGATCCATTTGCGTGATCGATACGAATGTACCGGTACGCGTGACGAATTGTCCTAGAATGATTCGGTCACGAAAAATAAATGATTGACAGATGTCTAAATTGAAGTTTTTATGACAATCTCTACTCTGTGTGTAGAACGCGGATTATTATGGGTTTGACATTGATATTACGAACCAGGGGTAGGAATTTTCAGTATATTATATATGTATATATTAATGTAGCTCTAGCACTGAATAAATAACAGTACTTATATCCCTAGTATTGATATACACAAACGACAAAAACGATGAATTCCATCATAGTTCTCAGGGGTGACAACGCATCTGTATTCTAATTCCGAATCAAGGATAGATGTTCATGTTCATTGGCCGTAGTATCTTTGCCATCAGATGGACTGTGAAAAAAAAAGAAAACAATTCTAGATATGCTTTGTGTATTGAATTCTTTTAATGTTAACACGTGTTAAGTCATCGACTAACTAAATGCATTTTTCTTTCTTACTTTAAATTACCTTTTCGTTATTTTGTTTTCTTAATTATTAGTAACCGATTTCTCAAAGTAAACTGATTTTATTAACAGAAACAGTTACAAAGCGAAATAATAACAATGCATGTAAGAACAAGGCTGATTGAGGTGGGAAATCAATCACAAATAATAAAGCGCTTTTATAATGCGCCAAAAACATTAATTATCTTTTGTTTTTACTTTGTTAGTATGATTACCGAGAAGCGACGTTATAAGAAAATACAAAACCGGGCAGCCATTTTTTCAAAAGAAATTGTATACATTAATTTGATAATTGTTTACGTAATTTACCGATCTAACTTATTTACAAGTTGTAAAATTAAAATTTTCGTACAACCGAATCGAGTCAATTAAATACGCATTACTAAAGATAACTCAAACTACTGGTCAGATCTTGACCAAATTTATATGAGACCACACGAGAAGCACTAGCTTTCATAGAAAAAAAAAAGAATTATCGAAGAATTATCAAAAAAAAAAGCTATCTGAGGTAACACATAAAAAATACAGTCGAGTTGAGTACTTTCTTCTTTTTGATGTCAGTTAATAACTAAGAAAGCTATCTGAGGCAACACATAAAAAATACAGTCGAGTTGAGTACCTTCTTCTTTTTGATGTCAGTTAATAACTAAAAAAGCTATCTGAGGTAACACATAAAAAATACAGTCGAGTTGAGTACCTTCTTCTTTTTGATGTCAGTTAATAACTAAAAAAGCTATCTGAGGTAACACATAAAAATACAGTCGAGTTGAGTACCTTCTTCTTTTTGATGTCAGTTAATAACTAAAAAAGCTATTTGAGGTAACACATAAAGAATACAGTCGAGTTGAGTACCTTCTTGTTTTTGATGTCAGTTAATAACTAAAAAAGCTATCTGAGGTAACACATAAAAAATACAGTCGAGTTGAGTACCTTCTTCTTTTTGATGTCAGTTAATAACTAAAATTTATCGTAAATTTGTCGTGTCGTATTGATAATGGACTACTAAAGGGTTTAGGGCTTTAGGGTTTAAGCCTTAAATACGACAAACCCGGGTTCGAACCCCACTAAATTGATGCGGTTATATGCGCTGATTTACCACGTACTCGACACAGTAAGGAAAAACTTACATTAGAGGCCTTCTTGCCCGAAAAATTAAAAACAATATTTTTAGGATCTTTTTTTTACTGAAATTAGCATTTCATTTTTTTTAGGGGAGAGTATCGTAGAGCAATGCTGCAGTTACCAGTTATATTAGTAGTATAGTTGTAGTACTAATGAGTCAGCTCGACCGGGGAAGGACCACGCTCTCACAGAATACTAGCGTAAAATAGTAGCTTAAAGCTGCTGTGTTTCGTATGATGAGTGTAGAGAACCGGGGACCTTTTTAGTTAGTCCTCACAGGTGACAACGCATCTGCATTTTGATTCATAATCGAGGATTGATGTAGATTCCATTGATACAGATGATGGGCCACAGTAAGCACTTACCATCAGGTGAACTGTGGGTTCGTTTGTCACCCTATCCTATAAAAAACGAGATATTTTATAATTGCGTGTACCTATATACTACTTAGTAAAACAATCGTTTATCAACTATCACGACATGCAAATTTGTAAGGTGAATAGTCTGTGAGGCTATTAACCTATGTTAGGTGTATTAAATCTCTACTAATTAAACTAGTTAAACTCTCTTCGGGAACACGTGCAATCTGGTCTCTCTCTGGAAAAGGGGGACGATTCACGGGCCCATGTCGTAAAAGAGAAAAATGATTTGCTAGGCTGTCTCTTTGCGTTCAACTCCACTTTCGATGACGGGGAAACATGCCGCCGACTATCCCTTAGAGGGGATGACTAACTGCCAGCCCACGAAGTACCTTGAGGATCACCAGGTGATTAGTGACCGTCATTACAGTTTCCATCGTGGTTGCTCATCTGGTGATCTTCTGGGTTACCTAACTCATAGACGGGCGGAGGCAGTAGAGTCCAAGTGGAGGCATTGGCCGTTAGTTTGGACATAGTTAATCGCTTCATGACCTTTTCAGAAATGTAAGGCCTCTTCGGCGTATTATGTATCATTACTTTTTCCTTACAAAAGTATGTGTAAATTAAAATAATCTCATGAAAGATATCTTTAACTACTACTGGTGGTAGACCTTCTTTTCTTCCTGGGAATCTGTCTGGGTATTTACCACTCTCTTACGTATTTCTGACACCAAAGAGTAGTGCTGTGTTTCAGTTCGGTCTGAAGGGAACAGAGATCCAGTATAACTACAGGCTACAGGCATTCCATCTTGGTCCTTATAGGTAACAACACTATAACCAGCCTTCTTTAATTAACATTGGCTGCGGATATCCATGAACCGCAACAACCACTTACCATCAGGTGGCTGTATGTTCGTTTGTCACTTTGATTTTATAAAAAATAATAGCTGGAACGAAAATGTGTCATGTTGCTGATTTTATTCTGTCTTGCTAGCCACTGCTAACCTTTGCTGCAAAACTGATTACGGAATAAGCCACGGAAAAAAAGACCGTGTATGTAACTGCATAAAATTTAATTTAATTTGGAAGCTTTTAATTTAATATTCAAGTTTCCATTTAATCACGATAAAAGCAATCATAATAATCGCTATAAGAAATTGAAAAGCTAAGACCCGAGAGAACAATAACTCAGCTGTATTGAACGTATTTGACAATAAACTTATAAATTTTTTGAAATTTATTAAGACAAAAATAATATATTTTTAATACTAAATATGTAGCCTTTGTATAAACAAGTTTTAAAATTAAAATTTTTGTGCAACCGACTTCAATACGACCTAATCAATGTATTCGAAGTCAATATTTAATTGACGGATTATTAAAGATAAATCAAAAACTCACCTGGTTCACCCAGACAAAAGTTATGAGGTAATACACGTTAAAAAAAACATACAGTCGATTTGAATACCTCCTGTTTTTTGTCGGTAGAAATATTAGTAAGGCAATGATCGGTTACCATCAGGTCTGTCGCATGGTTATTTGTCTGCTCTTCTATAATGAATTCCACCTAGTGTTATGTGGATGCAGAAGGTCTATAGATACTTAAGTCTATTCTTGATTAGGAATCAGGATGCAGCTATGCGTCATCACTATTGAGAACTAAGCTTGAATGTCTCGTTAACAGTAAAAATAATTCCCTGGTTACTTGGATTCACCATATGAAACACAGGAGCATTATGCTACTGTTTCACGCTGGTATTACGTGAGCGTGGTCTTTCCCCGTTCAAGCCGACTCAATCGACGTACCCGCGAACATAGAGGTACTTTTTTATAGAATGAGGGTGATAAACGAGCACACAGTCCATCTGATGGTAAGTGGATGCTGTGGACCATAGACATCTACATTTAACCTCGATTAAGAATCAAATCAAATCGAATCAAAATGCAGATGCGTCGTCACCCCTGACGACTAAGATGGAATGCCTCAATTCCATTAAAACGGGTCTCTGGTTCTCCACACTCACCATACGAAAGATAATAACATTAAGCTGCTATTTTACGATGGTATTCACAAATCATTATCCATTCATGCTTGATGTGATGCTTATGGGATTAATAAGAGATTGTTAGTTAATATTGGTAACTTCAAACGATTATAAAATAAATGGCCAGTGTTATACCAACGTAATTTACTATTTGAAAAATGAAAATGCTAGACTATGTATTACTCAGTAAGGTAAGATAAAAAAGTATTATTTAGTAATATAAGATTATGATAATAAGAAGAAGAATATAAACTATTATAAACACTGTAACGAAAATAAGCTTCTACCTTATTAAGAACTTATTTTTTAATTTACATTTATTAGCTCATTCGCACGCATATTAGTAGTCCGCCGGAGGCTATGGCTAACTAACGATTTGAAGTGAGTTCAATATTCTACAGAAATCTATAACGTACGTGAGAGTAAAATGATCACCTTAAGAGCTTCGCCGCCCTATAAAACAAAAACTAGGAGCGGGACTGAAACAAAAACACAAATTCGTATACTATAACTAATAAATTAAAAAAAAAAAACTAAATAAGCTTTGTCAATAACTATTAACAGTTCGCAAAAACAACTTAAAAAAACTAGCTAGACTACACAATACTAAATTCGACTAAAATATTTACTATAATGTCAACTGTAAAAATGGCGTCGATAAAGCAGCGCCTTTTTGTCCCTTTAAGATTTGATTGACTAATGAAGAGCTATCGTAAGATTAAGGAAAGATCAACGTTGCATCTTATACAACCAAGTCTGTAGTTTATGATCTATAAGAAAGTGACCACATTAGCTGGATGACCATATTATCCTCACATACCTAGATAACCATAATTCGATTCTGCACATACGAAGCAAATATGTTTCAATTAAAAATTTGGTAGCTATTACGACTAACTTGGATTCAAAAATTAAGAATCCTTTGACTTTGGTGCCAAAACGCTTTTGAGCACGTTCGTAGCTTTTGGCAGCATTTGTAAATGTCATCTATTTGTATTAACTAAATGGGACTTATCTGGATCATTATGTGCCAGAATTCAGATTTTTAATTACAATAATATATTACGTAACTAGAACCGGGGACAATTTGCTCGTTATCACAATTATACCTATACGTTTATACCTATATGTCGTTAATTTACCCTCGATTGCAATATCTGATTACTACAATAAGTGTTTATATAAATGCAGCTATTTTAAGTCGCTTTTATCAAAATCGCGTGTATCTATCTTTCCATCTATGTATGTAATGGAATCTTCTAATGTAATTTTCATCGACTAGTAAGTAGACGACCGATAGATTTTAAAATTTGCACTCGCTCGTATCAAGGGCCGATGACAGTATACAATAATTTAATAACTTTATCCTAGTATCCTGATCAGGATTACATAAAATAAAATAATTTTAAGGATCATTACAGCAATGATCAATGTGTGTTGTTTAAGTTTATTGAACTCTTATATTATTAACATTAATTGTTTCACAAAATTATGATCGATACGGCGGGAAAGTTTTGTTGGCAAAATTTTCGCGGGAACTTTACCGCAAGCGGATTGTTGCTTTTGCCTTATCGTTTATTTATTGGTTTGAATTGGTCTTGAAACGTGATGATGATTAGTGAATTGTTTACAAATGTTAATTTGTTATTAGAATCTACGTAACAATTGTTTGTTGATCAAATGAGCCTCAATTAGTGCCTGTTTTGGTGCTTTAATAAATCACCGTCGTCGACTGTATGCAGAGTCAAACTTTCTTTAAAATCTCTCAAAAACTTTGCTATGTTATGTCACATGAACATAATATTGTGATGAGTATTGTAAACAAAGTTAACCTTTTTTGCCAGAAACCTTCGTGCGCAACAACTCACCAAAGTTTTTATTGTAATCCGATGAATTGTAAAATTACATTAATCAAAGAAGAAAATATTATGTTGTAATTTGTTTAAAGAGACTATTAAAAGGTCACCGCTTGTGGAGCACATAGGCCTAACTCATAATTTTTTTATAGAATAGGGGTGACAAACGAGCACACAGTCCACCTGATGGTAAGATGATGCTGTGGCCCATAGACATCTACATTTATCCTCGATTAAGAATCAAGACGCAAATGCGTTGTCACCCCTGAGGACTAAGATGGAATGCCTCGTTTTCAGTAAGAAGGGTCTCTTGATCTACACTCACCATACGAAACACAGCAGTATTAAGCTGCTATTTTACGCTGGTATTCTGTGAGAGCTTGATCCTTCCACAGTCGAGCCGACCCATTCGTGCTAAAAACGTAATATAGCTGCAGCGTGGCTCTACCACGCAGATTGCCTTATAAGAGAGACACCTGCCATAACTTCCACGCTTGGCAGGCAGGTTTGGCAACAGTAGTTGTTTTTATAATTGTGAGTTTTTTTAACTCACGTTTTATTCCCCACTACCTTTTAAGACATCCACGGAATGATATAGGGAAGCGGATTGCCGTATGCAGCCACTACACGGCGAAAAATTGTCATATATACTTAAAAAATTTATACAAAAATATAACTAAAGTTTAGATGTAAATATTAGTTATCAATACTTAGGACTATTTTCTTTGCGTCGTGTTTACCCTGATTTCATATCTAAAGCTGTTACGACATTATTATCCAAGACGCATATATGATAATACCTATGTAATGTCATACATATTACGTTTTTTATATCGTAAGCAATGAATAACATATGAGCACTTAACTAAAATCGAGTAAACTTCGAATTAAAAATTATAAAAGAAGGAAACTAAAAAAAAATTAAATTATGAAAGACAAACATTGAGTTATAAATTATAATGTAGTACGTAGTACACTACAGCTCAATGATGACAAACAATTAGTTTTGTATCGTCGTAGTCACACAACATTACAGTAATGACATATAACTACGGACATTTTACGTGATATCATAATATAGCCTATGACTCTAGTACAGAGTTACATAAATAGCTGCTAAAATCCTAGCACCCCGTATGATGAAAAATCCATTAAATGGTACGTTACTATAAACCGGCATATGTTTTAAACGAACAGGGCGTACAATGTATTGTTTTTATCCAGCTATTAGGGTTCTGGTCCTGTCTGCTACAACTAGGAAAAGAAGGAACTTACTTAAGTATTCTTTATAAATATAAAAAAAAAATCATAATTGACTGGTGATTTGAAGCATTTTAGTACATGTTTTTTTTTAAATAGAGACGCAGTACATCTCTGAAAATATTTTCATATTTTTTTGGAATTTCCTTTTCCCTAGTTTTGAGCAAATATGCAATCAAAGGCATTTTGTTACCGGCCATTGTTTTAGGACACATTGGTTCTAGGTAGAACTAGTTCATCCTAGTTTGGCATGGTTCGCGGCTTAGCCGTACCTCAACTTGTTGCCGCTTTGAATTTACACATCATCTAATACAAATATTTAATCTAGTTATGTTAGCTTATGGAAACTAGTCTAGCAACGAAAAATCTACTTTGTTTTTAAATTCATGTGCGTACATTTTGTTTAAGGTAAAAAGTGATTTAAACTACAAATCTCGTTCATAATTACTCCTATCCATTATTTATCAATCAAAATTTCTTTTTACTAATATTTTTTTCAGTTAAAACTACTCTTGCATAAGCTTCTTTAGTCAAATATACTTATGATTTCGTTGGTCAAAATTAATTTGAAAAATAGTTTGAACTGTAACAAATATATTTTAACCGAGGGTGTAAAAAAAAAAAAAAAAAATTATGCAACAAATTGTAGAAAATAGTTCTGACGTAGCACCATAAAAAAATACAATCGAATTGAGAACCTCCTTCTTTTTTTAATTCGTTTGAAAAAGTATTTCGTTCATATAGTAGACGTTTGAAAAAAAAGTAAAAATAAAAATTGCGCTCGCTAAACCACTTGCCAAGCGTGGCCTCTATGGCAAATATTGCCTCTATGAGATAATCTATGGGTGAGGCTGTACTGCATCTGCAGTGGATTTTTAATACAATGTAATGGTAGTGGTAAAAGAAGGAAAGGGTTAAGTTAATTTTAAATCCATAAAACATAAACACTCACGCCTGTCACCCAGAGGGGTAGGCAGAGATTACAGATTTCCATTTGGCACGATCCTGAGACACCTCTCTCGCCTCCTTCACATCCATACACCTACGCATACATGCTCGTCGGTTAAGGGTACTCCTAATTTGGCCCGTTTCCAATAAATCGCCAATTTGGTCGATAAATTTTCGCCTAGGACGTCCCTTTCCGACTCTGCCATTCACTTCTGCAACATAAATTTTCTTTGTCACTCTTTCCTAATTCATTCTTTCTACATGATCAAACCACCGAAGCATTCCTTTCTTAATCCTGGTCACAACATCATCTTGCAAACCACAATCTCAACGAAGAGAAGAAGAAGAAGAATTTTAAATATTTATGCTTTTTAGTCGACTTTACAATGTACTGGACCTGCACCTAACTTAGACTACGATATGAGATATAATATGCATTTAATTTGATTTTTATTTTACCTTTACGTCTTACCAAAGTTAATTGCTGAACATAGGTCTTCTTTAGTTTGGCTTATAGAAGAGATATTTGCCATAGTTGCCACGCTTGGCGGTATTTTAACTTTTTTAGTTGATATTGGGAGGATACTGCTGCCCATCTCCTGTTTTTTCCCTCTGCCACCTCTTACTATACCACCGGGACGATACAGGGTACCTAGTGGATATTCTTACACAGCCGCTACACGGTTATTAAATTATTATTATTAATACTACACAAAGATATTTCGCGTTAATTTGTTTAGCTTGAGATAAATAACGGATATTATATATCGAATCGTTGATAACAACGGTCTAAATAATAAATAGTAATAGATAAGACGTACCTAGGACATTAGGATAGCGGGCCATGAATTTTTGTTTGGCGCGAATTATATCGAGTCGTATTTCGTTTTCAAGTGGAGCCTCCAGCGAAGAGAAGACGATCGCACCTGCTATCAGGAACAGCACATAGAAACAGAGGTACAATGCCATGAGACATGTGAATCTGGCCTTGCCGAAGATCCTGGTTGTTGCGAACAGCGGCTGAAATGGCGGATGCTCTTCTTCGTATAGGATCTCGCGTTCGACGACCATCTTCTTCGGGTAAGGGAAGAGTTGGCTATGTACCGTCATGTCGTCGTCGCTACGAGCTGAGCTCATGCTGCCGTACGATTGCACTCGAGAGTACTTCGGCTTGTCCAGCATTTTGATAGCTACCTTTACTTTAACGGATCAAAAGTGAGTTATTTTTACGTGAAATAGTTCTATAAAACGTTTAAATGAAAATTTAAGAATAGTTTTCAATTGAGGGTATAATAAATTGAAGTGAAAAGCGAAGTTATTAATGATCAAACGTAGAAAATTTCATAGATCTCGTCGCTAATACGAAATTAAACTAAGCAAAATAAAAGTCACTACACTCAACACGTCAGCAGTCCGTTACCAGATCGATGATTGAAGATCCCGGAACGGATAGGATCTTCGGTCAACTGTACTTAAAGAACCTCTTCGGATGATTACGTTCGAAAAATAACGCGTACACTTTGACGAACTTACTGCCGCTGTTATTGTAAAATTTACGAAGCGACATTTTGATGCATTGTATAAAATGCCAACTTTTTCAATAAAATATGGCGGATCGTCTCTGTGATTGTCAACTCGTAACAACGTGTGATGTACTTAGAAACCGTCGAACTACTGCGTGAGCGCACGGAGTCCGTGATCGATAAATGAATATCAGTAAGGGTGCTAATGCACTGTGTCATTTATTAATTACTTCTGACGCTTTTATCGTAAAAGTACATTTGTTTATGTCGGGCGATTGTGTAGCTCGTGCTTTAGGCGACTACTAACTTTACGACTTTTTGTGTAATAAATTTTGCACTAGGATATCAGATTGTCGTTGTTGGTAAAAATACATAAATATCATAATCAAAATATGATATTTGTTAGAATCTGATCTCTATAAAAATAAATAAATCGAACAAAGTTCTTACTTTGCTGAAATTCTTCTAAATTAAGGGAAACTGTTATGCGTCATATTACATAAATAAATGTAATAATGTAATGTAATTTTATGTAAATAATATAAACGCTAGAAATATAGTTTTTTTATAGAATAAGGGTGACAAACTAGCACACATTCCACCTGATGGTAAATGGAGGCTGTAACCCATAGACATCTACGTTTATTAAAAATCAAAATGCAAATGCGTTATCACTCCTGAGGATGAAGATGGAATGCCTCGTTTCCAGTAAAAGGGTTTCTGGTTCTCTATACTCATCATACGAAACAGCAGCTTTGAGCTGCTATTTTATGCTTGTATTCTGTGGGAGCGTGATCTTTACTCGGCTAATCCGAAAATTCGTGCTACAACCATAATATAGTAACGGCATGACTTTACCACGCAAAAATAATATAAAACACATTTGGAATGAACACTCACAATCAATCAATACATGTCGAAAATGGAAACCATACGACATTTGTGCAGACAGGCACGATATTTTGCCAGAACTAGTGAAAAAATCGATCTTAAAGCACATACAATTTTGTTTTAAATGTACTATAATTATTAAACAGTGCACTATTTTAACTTATAAAACCGGTGAAAACTACTAGAAAATCACTTTTAGTTTGTTTTGAAGTTATTGTTAGATTCATATTTTAATTGTTAATTTCTCAGACGCAGTAAAACTATAAAAACTATTGTAATCTACAGATTATACGGAATAAATCGACATGCATTTCATTAAGAATCCTTAAAATTTGTGGTGGGCCCATTCTACATACAAAAAGAAATTGTCTCCTTAAGAATTACATACATAATTATTTTATATTGTAAAAAGAACCATACATGTTATTAGATTAAACAATGTTAGTACTTCATTTTAGTTTGTTGATTAAGTCTAATAAAAACAATCTACCTGTAGATGGGGAAATAATTGTTAAAAACATATTAGAAACAATTTAATAGTACTAGTAATCCTACTGAACTCTTTGGACGGTGGTATATAGAAATCCGTTCTTCGTTTTCGATGAATAAGAAAATAAACTAGAAAGCTATTTTTTTAAGCGTTTGATAATCGTAGCGATTTTAATCTTTCGAACGCTACGTCTGTTTTGGACATACATACATATTGTATCTTGTGTTTTTTTCTTTGATAACTGTGTTTATAATTGACCTACTTAGCAGTCACTCGAAACTATCTAATTATATGTATTGTTTCTATTTCTCTTATAAATAATAGATATAAAAAAAAAACATTCTGGCTTTTAGAAAAGCGTCTTAAGAATAAAAAATAAACTTCATGGTAATATTGTGTGGTATTATTATTTCATCATCATCATCATCATTACAACCCTTCACAAGTCCACTGCTGAACATAGGCCTCCCCCAAGTAATGCCACAAAGCACGGTCATGAGCCACCTGCATCCATCGACTTCCTGCCTGTCTTACCAGGTCGTCACTCCATCTAGTGGGGTGTCGCCCTACACTACACCTACCAGTACGAGACTGCCACTCGAGATCGTTTCTTCTGCATCGATTATCGGTTCTTCGAGCTATATGGCTTGCCCATTGCCACTTCAGCTTACTAATTCGTTGGGCTATGTCGGTCACTCTGGTTTTACTGCGGGTATGGTCATTTCTGAGTCTATCACTCAGAGAAACTCCGAGCATAGTCCTCTCCCTAGCTCGCTGAGGGACCTTGAGCTTCCTCATACGGCCAGCAGTGAAGGACCACGTCTCAGATCATCACTGGTAACGCGCACTTGTTGTATTTATTCTGTTGAAATATTAAAACACTGTATAGCCTTACAAATGTTGTTTTTTTATTGCAAAAATGGGTAGGATTTGGTTGAGGATGAGGTATTTTGCAGGCAACTTATGAATAAAAGTGAAACTTAATAAAAAGTAAAAACTAACTTCAAAGAACTAAAGAGAAAAAAAATGGATTTCACGTACGTAATTTCGTAGCTTTTAAAGCTAACATACGAGTATAGTGTATAAAAGAATTCAAGACCCCAATTTCAGAAGCTGGTAAGTGGAAATTGTTTCTTCCTTTAGCCGACTTTGAAGAACTAATTCTTTGTTGCCGGTATTTAATTTTTATTAAAAGTAAAATTTCTGACCCTTTTGAGTAAACTAAGGAATATCACAAGGTAACAAGTACAATGTCGTCTAAATAGTTACATTACAAAATTTATTCCCTATCTATCCGTCCTTAGCGATATTTTTTTAAATTATTCGAATGATTTATGTGACCACCCTGGAGGTATAAGCTATTGATTAAAAAATAATTAAAGTTGGTTCACAATTGGCGTAAATATATCGCCTAACATGCATATGTTTATATTTATGATTTTGCTTCCAGACCGATCAATGGGATGAGGAAAATTACTTTAAAAGCATTGATCATAATAAAATGATTATATTATTAACTTTAGCCTTAGCATAATAATATACGACTATATAAAATATGCCTTAGTACACTAGTATTTATAACATGTCCTTTTAATAACGATAAGGGTGACAAACGGGCACACAGTCCACCTGATGGTAAGTGGACGCTGTGGCCCATAGACATCTACATCTATCCTCGATTAGGAATCAAATGCAGATGCGTTGTAACCCCTGAGGACAAAGATGGAATGCTTCGTTTTTAGTGAAAAGATTTTTCCGTTCTCTAAAGTTAGTATACGAAACACGGCAGCATCAAAAAAAAATTATTTTTTCATAGGATAGGGTGACAAACGAGCACACAGTCCACCTGACGGTAAGTGGTTGCTGTGGCCCATAGACATATACGTCTATCCTCGATTACGAATCAAAATGCAGATGCGTTGTCACTCGTGAGGACTAAGATGGAATGCCACGTTTTCAGTAAAAAGGGACTCCGGTTCTCTACACTCACCATACGAAATACAGCAGCATTACGCTGCTATTTTACGTTGGTATTCTGTAAGAGCGTGGTCCTTCCCCGGTCGAGCCGACTCATTCGTGCTATATATATATATATATATATATATATATATATATATATATATATATATATATAGTAAAATACGATAGAGTCATAGATATGTATATATATATATATATATATATATATATATATATATATATATATATATATATATATATATATATATATATATATATATATAGGTATATATGACCAACGATATATTCCATAGCTATCAGGGGTACTATTATTTATTCTGTATCAGAGGTGATAACGCATATGCATTTCGAATCTTAATCGAGGGTAGACGTGTTTATGGACACTAGCATCTACCTACCATCAGATAGACTGTGCACTCAATCTTGTAAGAAAAACATGGTCTCAATAATTTTCTAGATAAGTGGTAGATTTATTTTTATATTTTTATTTTTATGGCTGAATCATTATAAAAATCCTTTTTTTCACTTTGAGACTATTTATTTGTAATTATGATCTATCCCTAAGTGACTCTTCTATACATATTATTATAACACTATTTTTTATTTTAAACGGTATAGAATCGCTCTGCCGATACCGTTTAACAAACAACATTTTTAAGAGACGAGATTCGCTTATAGAAGACTTATTTTAACAAATTATGGATATTTTCTAAGAAACTTGTTTTAATAAACACATTTATATTTAATTTTGTGGCTGGCTGGTTTTGCCTGGTGTTATTTACATTTAAAATAAAGAAATATTTTTTTTATCAACTTTTCGTTTAAAAAATCTTCAGGTTTTTCGGATAAATATAGCGTAGATTCCTCTTGGCATTGTTCTTTATCTGTTTCATTAGAATCGGTTCAGCCATGCTTGGACAGACAGACAGACAGACCAAATATTTAAAATAAACTGGTTGTTTATATCTTTATAGCTTGCAAATAACCGTCTAAGCTTAATAGAATTACTTCAATATTACATACATACGATTTTATTTATATACACACCGGCACAATTAGCGGAACAGAAAAAAAAGTGAGACTATGAGATAATAACGCATATATTTGACGAAAATGTAATTAGACACAAAATAACAAATTGATTAACATCTTTTAACAACGACTTTGAAAAGTTTTTACTTTTTACGTAGACAGAGAATTCTATAGACTCCGCCATAGCGTGTCGCAGAAAGGGACAAAAGAAAATACGTCACTATATTTAGGGTTACAAGTGTGAGGAAAAATTTACCCCACAACTAGCTATAAAATTAGAAAT